CGCCGGGCGCGCGGGCAGGCCTGCCCCCCGGAATGCAATGCGCCTCCACCGAAACCCGGCGCCCCGCCCCGCGCGGCGGCACACGCAGCGTGCGGCGGCCTTGTAAGGTGCTTGTGGGGAACCGAGAACTACCGAGCCGCCCGTGACCCGAGCACCGAGAGAGCGTGCGTTCGCAGACAGCGGCCCCTCCACTTCCCCGGGCGCGGGAGGGGCGCCGGAGGGCTGGGCGGCCCCCTCGCGCTGACGTAAGAACTGAGTAGCATCGCGCTCTGCCCGCCTGCCTAATGGAGGCTCCGCGGCCTGGGGTGAATTGGGCGCATCCGATTGGTTCGGTTCGGTTCAACAAGTGCTTCTTGCGCGCCTGCTGTGTGTCAGGCGTTTTGAGGAGCACAAAAGACGCCTGCTATTCAGAGTTTGGGGCTGGAGAATCTCGGGTTTGCTTAGAAGTGGGAAATCCATTCCTTGATAAAGGCATTCGCTGGAATTTGAGGTGGCGGGCCTACCGGGGGCACACGTGAAGTGAGGAGCCCTGTGCTCCAAAGACAGAGGCTACAATTGGGGTCAGGGCAGTGTGGGAGAGGTCAGTTCTGTCTCCGGCTAGTGCCAGTGTGTGGGCATGGGACTCTGAAGTGGGGATCAACTGATGCCACTTCTTCACGCGTCCCGGTACCTGTGAAAGGCTTGTTGCACCGCACCCACTCCCCTTTCTGTTGCAAGCCAACTTCATCCATCCATTCTTCTCTCCCTCCTACCATCAAATGGATTCCCAACTCACAGCAACCCTAAAGGACTGGGTAGAACTGCCTGTGTAAGTTTTGAGACTGGAACTATTTATAGGGGTAGGCCACCTCTTTCTCCTGCAGAGGGAGGCTGGTGGTTTCAAACTACTCGGTAAATGGGGACTGAAGGCCTACTGTGTGACAGACATCTCACTAAGCCCTCTGGATATATTACTGAGCAAAAGAGGCTACGCCAGCCCCGAGGGCACAGGGGGCAGGGGTGGGGGAGATGCAGGCAATCTAGTTCTGTGCATACTCCTGTCTCCCCCCTTTGGACTACTGAAACATCCTTACAGAATCTTCCTTGCTCTGTCTCATCGTCACACAATAAGTTTGTGGGAATATGAAATACAAAGATGATGGATAATTATCTAAAAACTTCTGAAGCGCCCTCCTATTTCCAGCTTCCAGAATGATTTTCATGACATGATATTGCATCGTTTGATCATACATACTATTCCATTGTTCAAAACCCTCTCCTGATAACATGGCCTACATTTTAGAGTCTCTGGGTGGTGCAAATGGCAAGTACTTAACTGCTAACTGAAAGAGTGTCCCTCTGAATCCAGAGATGCCTGGAAATCAGGTGGGCAACCTGCTTCTGAAAGGTCCTCAACCTTCCCAATGCCGAGACCCTTTAAACAGTTCCTCATGTTGTGGTGACCCCCAACCATAAAATTATTTTCATTGCTACTTGAAAACTGTAATTATGCTACTGTTATGAATCGTCATGTAAATATCTGATACGCAGGCTGTATTTTCATTGTTACAAATTGAACATAATTAAGGCTTAGTGATGAATCACAAAAACAATATGTAATTATATTGTGAAATATTTATTTCTAATAACAAATAAATGAAATTTTGTCTTAAAGCATGGTGTAGCATGGGTCCAGTCCTCATGCAGGGTACTTGTACGTGGACGTATCTGCATGTGGGCAGATCCTCCTGGAGAAGGATAGAGGAGCGGTGTCTCGGTTCCTAAGACCATTTGAAATAGGTGTTTTCCGATGGTCTCAGGCGACCCCTGTGAAACGGTTGTTTGACCCCAAAAGGGGTCGAGACCCACAAGTTGCGAACCGCTGATCTAAAAGGAAATAGAGAAAAGAACTGGGAGGTGAAGGATATTCATATTCTTAGAGTTCTAAATACAGGCATGTACACATGTAAATATACTTATATATGACATTAAGGAAATAGATCTACGTGCACATATTTCTAGGTTTAGTATAAAGGTAGCAGACAGACATTGGGACTCTACTCAGGTACTCCCTCAATGCAAGAATACTTTATTCTAATAACCTGGAATTCCGTGATGCTTACTTTACCAACACGATCACTGAAGACAAATTGGGTGCACAAGCAAATGTGGTGAAGAAAGCTGATGGTGCCCGGCTATCAAAAGATATAGCATCAGGGGCCTTAAAGGGTTGAAGATAAACAAGCAGCCATTTAGCTGAGAAACAACAAACTCCACATGGAGGAAGCACACCAGCCTGGGTGATCACCAGGTGTCAATGGGATCAGGTATCAGGCTTCAAAGAACAAAAAATCATATCATTGTGAATGAGGGGAAGTGCAGAGTGGAGACCCAAAGTCCATCTGTAGACAATTAGCCATCCCCTTACAGAAGGGTCACAAGGAAGATACGAGTCAGTCAGGGTGAAGTATACCACCATTGAAACATAACAACTTTCCTCTAGTTTTTTAATGCTCCCTCCCCCCTACTATCATGACCTCAATTCTACCTTACAAATCTGGCTAGACCAGAGGATGTACACTGGTACAGATAAGAGCTAGAAACCCAGGGAATCCAGGACAGATAAACCCCTCAGGAACAATAATGAGAATAGCAATACCAGGAGGGTAAAGGGAAGGTGGGGGAGAGAAAGGGGGAAGCAATTACAATAATCTACACATAACCCCCTCCCAGGGGGATGCACAACAGAAAAGTGGGTGAAGGGATACAGCGGACAGGGTAAGATATGACAAAATAATAATTTATAAATTATCAAGGGTTCATGAGGGAGGGAGGGTGGGGAAGGAAGGAGAAAAATGAGGAGCCGATGCCAGGGGCTTTCGTGGAGAGCGAATGTTTTGAGAATGATGAGGGTAAGGAATGTACAGATGTGCTTTATACAATTGATGCAGGTATGGATTGTGATAAGAAGTATGAGCCCCCAATAAAATGATTATAAAAAATACATAAATCTTATATTAAAATATATTTTTAAAAAAACAAACTCACTCCATCGAGTCAATTCAATCTTATAGGGTGGGATAGAACTGTCCCTGTGAACTTCTGAGACAGCGACCACTCAGCTCAGCCCAGAGCTAGTTTCCCTAATGAAAAACCCACTGTCATTGAGTTGCTGTCAATGCATAGTTTCCCTGATGACTCAGGGCCATCAAATCATGCTGACTCGTGGTGACCCACTGTCACTGTACGGGAGTAGAAAGCCTAGTGCAGTGGCTCTCAGCCGTCCTAATGCCGACCCTGTAATACAGTTCCTCATGTTGTGGTGACCGCCCAACCATAAAATTGTTTTTGTTGCTACTTCATTAACTGTCATTTTGCTACTGTTATGAATCAGGCGACCCCTGTGAAAGGGTTGTTCGACCCCCAAAGGGGTCTCAACCCACAGGTTGGAAACCGCTGGCCTAGTTGCTCTCCCACAGAGCTGCTAGTAGTTTTGAACTGCTGATCATTTGAATCACACCTCTGCCTCGCAGGAATTATCCTCGAGCAGGTGCAGAATTGAGTACTCCTTCTCCCTTCTGTAGCCAAAGGAGGTCGTACCACTCCCATTCCATTTCTTCAGACTGTACTGGAAGAAGATTCAGTATGTGCGTGTCTGCATTTTAACTATCATTGTCATCATTCTTTATATAGGGATTATGAATGATGCCATTCAACTGCTATTATTTTCACAGTTACTCCTCCTGCGGCTGCTGCTGCTGCTAGCTGCTCTCAAGTCCACTTGGGACTCCTGGGGACCCAATGCACAGCAGAATGAAACTCCCTGTCTGTCCCAGCCACCCCTATGACTGGTTGTGGATCATTCTAATGAGATCCATGAGGTTTATACTCACGGAGCTTTAGGGGAAGTTTATTAGGTCTTCCTCACTTGTCTGTCTTAATCTGGAAGTTTTGCTGAAACCTGTTCACCAGCACAGCAACACGCAACCTCTGTGTTGCTGTGTTGCTCAGACAGTTGGTTGAGATGAAGTACATTGGTCGAGGATTGAACCCAAGTCTCGCACGCAGAGGCTGCGAATTCTACCACAGAACCATGGCAGCCTCCTCTGGGTCTCATTAGACACAGGATTTTTGCCAGCACCCATTGTAGTTGTCTCTGAGACAACTACGTTTTTTGGTGGAGGGAGAATGTTGAAGATGGAAAGAA